CTTGACTTCTCCATACATTGCGAATTGTTCTGAAACACTGGGAAGTTAGAAAGGTGCTTTGAACAGCTCCTAAATCCACGAGAGCATAAATTCCTTAGGTCTGTAACCTGGTCTGAGGAGCGAACGGAAGTGGTTTGGGGGCAGGAGCGGCACGCTGTGTGGTTTCGGCGGAACGCTGTCACAACACGCGCTCCTCGGTAAAGGCCGGGCGTGCTGTGAGTTCCTGAAACGCGCGTCCTGGCGCGGGGCTTCGGGGAGGGGTTGTCCTCAGCGCGGTGGTGCGGGGCTGGTGGTGCTGAGTGGCGCCTGGTGCCTCGTTGTTCGTGCCGCTCAGCCTCCAGCTCTTCCCTGCCGTCCTCCCGCCGGCGGTGTTCCTTTAAGCAGCTGCAATTACACTGCAGTCATCGCCACTTTAATATGTCTTTCCTTCATGCCCCCGCTTTGTATGGTTGAATAAACCCTTGCTGGGTCACTATTTAATTTGATATGGTCCCTCTCAGTAAAATGATGGAGAAAAGATGAATTAAGGCTCTGTGCTAGTCATTATCAATCATGGTTTGTGTGCATTACTTATTGCTCACAGTGCTTTTTGACATTAGCCCTCTCTAACCTCTCTCTTCATGTTAATGTTGTCTGGAGGTCCTTTTACCCGATGTAGCAGAGGTTATTTATGTAGGTGGTGTTTCTAGGGGGTTTTAAAAGGTCAGCACAATCTCCTGAGAGACTGTTCACAAAGGCAAGGCTGGCTGAATGGAACTGCAAGTTTGCAAATTGTGATTTTAAATTTTTTTTTTTAAGGACTTCTAATAGAGAGGTGTCAGAATTTCAGTTACACTTATTAAAGTAAATTTTTGGCAAAACAGCCTCTAAGACAATACTGCTGCCCTTGAAACCAGTATCTGCAGCCTGTGTCTGAGGAAACACCAAGCTGTGGTAAGAAATTCTGTCTCTTACCATGTCGTGAAACATAAATTGCGTTGCGACGACCCTTAGAGTGGCTTGGCTTGGGGTGGGCTTGCATGAGACGGAACAAGGCAGCCGCGCTGAGGGTTGGGCATACCTCGTACCGGTATGGCTCGCCTTGGTGAGGCCGCCAGCACGAGAATCGGAGCGAAGCCCTGTGGGGTGGCCTGCTGGAGAAGTGGATGGTGACTGACAACAGGACTTCTGGTCTCACATGCTTTGGCTGCACAAACCCTTAAGCTAATTATACGTGCACGAGCCCCTGGCAGCAGGCAGGGCACAGCCAAGGGACAAGGGGATCTGGCTGATGGCATTGCAAGGCTTCTCACTGCCGTCTTAAAAGGGAGAGGTTCCTGGGGGGCTGGGAAAACACAAATGTCACCGCCGCTTTCAGGAAGGCTCCCAGGTGGTCTCTCCTCAGCCCTTGGAAGGTGATGGAGCCAACCTTCCTGGATGACCAGTTGCATGGACGAGGGGAGGGCTGTGGCTGTTGTATGCATTGACTCTAGCAAGGCCTTTGGTGCAGCCTCTTGCAGTATCCTTGAAGCCCAATTGGTGATGTGTAATGGGTAGGTGGAGCATAAGATGGCTGGAAAGTTGGCCAACCACCAGGGTCACAGTGTGGTAACAAAGTCCAGCTGGCTGCTGGTGGTGTTCCTCAGGGGTCAATGCTGGGATCTGTGCTATCCAACACCTTTGATAACAGCTTGAGCAGCAGGATGGAGCGCACGCTCAGCTTTGCAGATGCTGTCAGGGCAGCTGTTCAGAGGGACTTAGGCTGAAGAAATGATCAGGTGGGAACCACATGGAGTTCAGCAAAGGTTCATGCCAAGCCTTGTCCCTGGGACGGGGTACCCTCATAAAGCGATACAGGCCGGAGGTGACTACCCAGAAAAGAAGAGGACCCGGATCTTGTTGGGCAGCAAGTTGAACATGAGCCAGCGCTGTAATTTGGCAGCAAATGTGGCCAGCAGCATCCCAGGATGCGTTAGGTCCCAGGAAGGGACTCCTCCCTCTATTTGGCACTCCAAAGCCATGTCACATCTCCAGTGTCCTCTTTGGGAGTGCCTGTACCAGACAGACAGGGGCAAACTGGAACAAGCATAGTAGAGGCTTCTCTGCAGCTGGAGCATGGGATGTGGGAGGAGAAGCCAGAGAGCCCGTCTGTGACACCACGAGAGGGAGGTGGTGGGTGGCCACGCTGCTGTGGGTGGCTGCGGTGGCCAACTGGGGGCTCTTGAGGGGCCAGGTGCCTCTGGGTGGTGTGCAGCAACGGGACAAGGGGCACCGGTCTTCAACTGCAGCAAGGGAAAATCCAACTAAATCTAATCTGGAAAAGTTTTCACCATGAGGATAAACAACAGAAGAGGGGCCCAGAGAGGTTGTAGAATTGCTGTCCTTGGAGAGAGATGCTCAAAACCCAACTGGATATGGCTCTAAGCAACAAGTTGCGCTAGGGGAGGTTTAGATTGGACGTCAGGAGAAATGTCTTCACCAGAAGGGCTGTCAGGCACTGGAAGGGGCTGCCCAGGGAAGGGGTCGAGTCCCCAGCCCTGGGGGGATTTAACAGCCAGGCAGAGGCGGTGCTGAGGGCCAGGGTTTGGGGGTGGGATGGCAGGGGTAGGGGAAGGGTTGGGCTGGGGGAGCTTCAAGGGCTTTGCCAACCCAAACCATTCTGGGATTCTATGATCTAGTTGGCTCTGTGTTAATGTTTCATCTTTTGAAGTGCTACCTGTTGTGTTGCCAAAGAGGAAAATAGCAAATGAAAAATGACAGCTTGATTGAAGACATTATCTTGGGCCTCATCATAGGCTTGGACTGTGTGATTTTAGGTTCTATATATTGTTCTTCCGTAATTGGAAGTTCAATATAGTTATTTTTAAGAATGAAATGACAGCGCTCCCCTTTTTTGATTGAGATCAGATTTAAGCCAATTTTGAATGCTTTTAGCATTTAACTTTTTTTCATTGTTTTGCTTTTGAATAAATGTTGACATTTTGCCAAATCCCAACTCATGACTGTGCTGTCATGGTCGTCACAGAGAGTGGGAATAGAGGAGACCTTACTGGATTATGAGATCTGTAGTTCCTCCAGGAAAGCCGGACTGTTAGGAAGATTGGGTGTGTTTGCCCTCCCGCCAGCCGTTCCTGACCCCCCAGAGTGGCTGTTGGATCTGCAGAGAGGTTATTTCTCAGTGCTGAAAACCAAAACACTTAGAGCAACATGGATATTGGCAGTCACCACAGAGTTTTCCTCGCTAGAGCTGCAGCCTGAGGAAAATCAAAAGTTGGGCTCTCCTAAGAGAAAAGTCAAAGGATTGTGAGAAACGCGTTCCCCTCAGATGTGCCCATCAGCTGGATTTCAGAGTCATGAACTGTTAGGGTTTCCTCCTGAATACGGCCTATTAGACCTAGGCAAGCTTACTTGCTTTCAAAAGCCCACATTTTTAAAAGATGTAAGCACCTATAAACTTTGCATAGGCTCAGAGCAGAAGCCCATTTGTTCTGTATGATCCTTCCGGGCTTGGGCAGTTTTTCTCCTTTTGTCTGTAGGAAATCTTTACATTTGGCTAAACATTTGTTTTGTTCATTTGTTTTATTCCCTCTTAATATATGTCCTGTGAGCTACTGGAAGCCAGCTCTTCAGGAGAGACCGAAGTCAAGCACAGGTGAAAGCTCTTCCTTGTGTGTCCACAGTATCAAAATAGGAATTTTGATTCCCGGCATAAGGACTTTGTTGTTAGTCGCTTTTCTTGGACTCGATGGTCGATAGGTCTCCTTCCTTGTGCCGCGAGTGGCTTTCCCTGGGTTTGGATAGAAGAGAACAACATCTTGCTGGGTTGGGTAGAAGAGAACAACATCTTGCTGGGTTGGGTAGAAGAGAACAACATCTCGCTGGGTTGGGTAGAAGAGAACAACATCTCGCTGGGTTGGGTAGAAGAGAACAACATCTCGCTGGGTTGGGGATAGAACAACTGCGCATCGGTAAATGGTTTTCACATTCGAGCTTTCAAGAGCAAGCTATTATTTATTCAGTAAAATAAAACACTTCAGAATCTTCATAAGCGCGTTTTGAATGCACGGGGAACGCCCACAGGCCAGGCCGCGAGCGGAGGAGCGGTGGCGCGTCTGTGCCCGCCATCCCCCGGAGAACGGTCGGTCTCGGGGGGGGGCAAATGCACCCAGCCAGTCTCTTGGGCAGGCGGTGCCCTCGTAGCAGGGCGATGCCCCGGCCCGGGGATGCTCTGCTGCGCCCGGCGCTTCCTTTGTAATACGCAGTGGAAGTGCTTTGCTGCAGAACCATGGGCAGCGTTCCTGGGGCCTGCCTGGCGCAGTATTCATGAGCAGGGCGTGAGCCCAGCCCCGCGTGCATTGTTAGCGGTGAATAAATAGGATGCCGGGTCGTGTCTTTTTGCGGGAGGCTGTAATTGATGGCAGGGCCTTAGGAGCGGTGCTGCAAAACCCCTTTTGCTGTATCATAAGTGCCATGTCTTGGCGTGAGCTGATTTGTGGCTTTCTCGCAGGCGTTGCAGTTTTGATAAATGCAATGTTTTACCATTATTTAAATTCCCCTTAACTTTTATAGAAATATTGGGTGGGTTGGCTCAGCAGGAGAAATGGCTTTCCAGCAGATCACATTCATTTTAATTTGATGTAAATCTCTGATGACGTTTCACAGTTCAGGTAAAATTACAAAGAAGCCAGGACATTTGTGCCTAGGCAGTACCAATTTGCTGGGTTAGGCTGAGCATAAATACGGTTGTAAAGCTTTCCTAATCGGTTCTCTTTCATCTATAAACAACTACCAGGGCTTATATTAATTTTACACATAAATTTATACCTGCTGCAGGACCAAAAATATAAATAATTCCAGGATTTATGAGATACAGTGTATGTTCTCAAGGTACTTCTGCCGGTGTGTCATGCTTATTAGTTACAGCAGATGGGTGAACTTTGTTTTATTTGCTTCCCCGGGTAAGTACGTCTCACAGCAATGCTTTACCTAAGGTGACTGATTCCTATTTGCTTGTTTTTCAGTGCAAGTGGTCCAGAAAAGGCTTCATTCGAACACGGTGGTGTATTACTGATTGGTAAGTTGCATCTTTAAGTTAGTTCTGGTTACGTGCGTGTTACGTATGGTTCTGTTGACGGTTACGTGTGGTTCTGTTGACGATTACCTATGGTTCTGTTAAGTTACCTATGGTCCTGCTAACAGTTACATATGGTTCCGTTAACGGTTACGTATGGTCCTGTTAAGTTACCTATGGTCCTGTTAAGTTACCTATGGTCCTGTTAACAGTTACATATGGTTCCGTTAACGATTACCTATGGTTCTGTTAAGTTACCTATGGTCCTGTTAACAGCTGTTTCACAGAAGGTGTTGGTAGGTATGGAGTGGTCTGTTCGTAGGTCGGTTCCAAAGCCTTGCTTTGTCACGTATTGAACACACAATGCCCCGTAAGTTGTACCGATGCAAACCCTGATGTGAACATTCACATGTATGCGCAGTTGGCGTGGGATAACTCGGGTTATAAGCAAGCTCTCCGTCAGGCGTGATCCAGGCAGCCTGGTGTCTGTGACCGAGGCCACGGGACTCACAGAGCGGAGCTGAAGGCACCCCCCCTTGCAGCTCCCCATCGCCCCGATACGGCCGAGGCTCTGCAGCGTCTCGCCTGGCTGTGGCCGGCCCTGGCCTCTGGGATTTCTGAGGAAAGAGGCTGTTCTCTACAAATCCCTTGAGCCTGGCCCAGTTCCCACTGAAGTCAGTGGAGGGGCCGTACCTTTAAGGAATGCGGCTTTTTAAAGCCAGTTCCTACTGTATTAACTTTTACTGGAACAGAACTTCTTATTCGTCATATTCAGGTCAGGATTCCCATTTCACACCCAAGCACGGTCCTGTTCTCTGCGGGGTTGCTTGTCTCCATCCCAGAGCAGAATAAGGCACCCGGCCACCCCGCACTCGCGGCTCGGGTTGGGTGGCGGGGTGGGCGGCACACCTCGTGCCACTGCGCTCGCCCGCTGCTGAGGGAGCACCCACTGAGCAAGGCTCGCTTACGGTCAGTGGCTTTCCTCGAAGCAGAGGGTTCCTTGTAAGGTGTGCTGTGAAAACCTAGGGAAGAAACAAACGTTTCATCCAGCAGCCTACAGAGGTGGGGGCTGCGGGGAGCAGCGGGCTGTGTGAGACTGGCAGGTGAGCATCATCGTGGTGTTACACGCTAGATCCCTGGCCTTGGGAGAAGCAGTGCCAGCTGGGGTTGACCAGAGGTGCATCTCATAACCGGAGCTACTTATGACCTGTGTTTGAAAATGCCGCCTTTACCAGCGGTAACAGTAGTACCAGTAGGGTGTGTGTGCTGGGGGAGCAGCTGATGGTGCAAAACACCATACCTGAGACAGCTTGAAAATTGTCCTTGGCTTGACAGAATAATAAATATTCGTAATATAATTATTATTTTTATATAAAACTATATAATAAATAATAATAAATATAATAATACATAAACCTGCAGATGGTTCACATTTCTCTAGTCCTACCTGGAAATCTGACCACACTCTTTTTTTCCATTTAGTCATAGTTTCCATCTCTGCTGCTTGTTTATGTTACAGTCACCTAAATGTGTGTGAACATTCGACGTTTTCCCCTTTCTCCTGTGGTTGTTCCACCTCTTAAAACTGCAGGCTTGATGTTCAAGTCTGATGAATGTTCACACAGGCTGACTTCAGTGCAGGAACAGTGTTATTCCTTGGTTGCATAAGCGGGTTTATTAGATTAAGCAAACAGTTTGTGAAAAATGAAAAAGCAGCAGGTTTTCTCCTTTTGCAGACTTTTGACCCAGAAATCAGGCAGGCAGCCATGGGATAATGTAGGTTCTGGCTAAGTTCTCCAGATCCATACAACATGGCATGTCATTCCAGCAGCAAAGATCTGCAGAAGTGGGTATTTAGCACCAGCTGCTAATTACCTCTTACACCAGGACTTTTCCAGGTTCTGTCTCTCCTATCCTCTTGGATTTCCTCTTTGCAGAAAAAATAATGTGCATTTATTTTTAGGCCTTTCCAAGGAAAAAAATGTTCTTCAGAGGCAGATTTAAAGGAAGTATTTTCTCCCAGTTTGCCGTTAAAAAGGGGTGGTTGTAGGGAGGAGCAGCCTGTAGCTGGGTGTTCTGGCCAGGCAGTGCACCGTGCTCACGTGTCCCAGGGGTGCCTTGGGAAGCCAGAGTGAGGAGGCTCGGAGCTCTTTGCTGCTCTGCGATGGGGTGGGCTCTGGTGGGAGCTCTGTGTACGGAATAGCCTGTGGTTGCGATCCACGTCATCCAGCAGGATGGCGGATGTTTCTGATGAGAAGTTGAAGGGGCGAGTTACTGTGAACAGCTTCTGGAGCATGAAAATGAAATATTACGGAAATACAGGGGGTTAGAAAATGCAGCTACTTAAGTGTAAGTGCATCACGTGTCTGGTCGTGGTGTGGGAAGTGTTTAAACCCAGCCCGCGTGCATTCGCGTGTGAACGCAGTTCTGGCCATTCTCATAACCATGACTTTTGATCTCTACATTTCTACATGCCAATAGTTCAGTAAAAACATAGCCAGACTTGTTGGTAATTCTTCTGTGTGAGTCCTTGAAGGAGCTAATCATTTTCCCTGCCTAGGAGAATATCATTATGGGATGTACCTCATGCCAGAAACAGAGGGCTTCCAAAACCCCCAAAAGTGACCGTAAAAGATTTTTCCTCCTGTGTGATTCAGTGATCTGCCCCAGTTGAGTTCCTCTGTGAGTCCAGATCTTTCGCATCCATTATTCTTCATTAGCTTATCTTCAGTGGGAATCAAAAAGTAAGGAACCTTGGGGTACTCGGAGATTTTGTTTTAAGATAAAATGAAAGAGAGCTACAGAACTACATGCACCTTGTTTTGCCTTTTTATTTTAGTGTCTTGAAGGGGGGTGTGTATTTATTTTATTTCAATAGTTTTAGTGTTACTGTGTTAATGGGTGCAGGATAGTGCCCTGCATGCATTCCAGTCTTACATACAGTTTAGTTATAGGGTTTGTATTTGGTAGGGAGGGTGGAGTAGAGAATGCATCTATAAAAGGTGGGTATGGCACCAATCTGGGAGTGTTGGCAAGCGTACCAGAGGTCAGAATCAGCAATCAAAATTGGTTTGGTATTTTAGAGAAAGTAGGATTGCAAGACTGAAGTCAGGGAAGCGCAAAGCATTGGGCTTTGAGAGGACAATTCAGAAGCACAAATACAATATTGGGAATAACCGACTCATTCCCCGTACAGTAGAAAAGGCTCAAGGGAGAAGAAATCAAATATGGTTCGTTATTGCCTTACTGAGGTGGGTTAATGGATTTATCACGTGAAGGACACGAAAGGGGGAAGGTCCGGTAATTATTTAATTGCGTGCTGCCAAGGCCTTGGGTAGAGTACCGTGTCTTGGCTTGGGCGCTGCGCTCCAGGTGGGCGGGGGGGAGAGCGGGAGAGCCAGAATGGTGGGAGGGCTGGAGCAGGAGCTGGCGGGGCTTGGCTCGCCGCGCCTGGGAGAGCGCTTGCTGTCCGTCTGTCCTGCGGGAAGGGCAGAAGGAAATCGGCTTCATTTGCAGGAAAACAGGTAATGTGCTGAAAGTTTTAATTTAAGGACAGGGAAGTTGTAGGTGGAAGGTCCTTCCTTAGCAAGTTTTAAGAACCAGCAGTTTTTAGGCCGGTGGGGATGGATTATCGATCCCTTCACACAGGAGGTGAGCTCCCGGCATGAGGTCGCTCCCTGTCCTACAGGGATCCCTTCGTTCATCCCTCAGGGAGACGGGAGTGGACATCTCGAGCCATCGTCTCCAGATGATGTGTGTAGTTAGGTCCTAGTTATTCGTGTTAATACGAATGTTGTAAGACTGCATTATCGTCACTGCGAGTTCATTCAGCACGTTAGGCTGTTCCCTCTCACCAAAACCCCACCGGTACCTCTGGAAGGGGCCTTCGTGCGTGCTGCTCGGTGACCTGCGCGGCTTCATCCTGCAGTCGCTGTTCTGGCTGCCATTTCTTGCCGTGTCCAAATTTGTTCCCTGACTCCATCACGGTGTGGGGGATCTCCCTGTGCACAGGTTGGGGTTTCTGCTCGATACCCCTCTCTGCCAAAGGCTGTCCCTGTGCTCTCCCGGGCAGGGGGCAAACCCCCTTCTGAACAGCAGGCATGTGTGCCTTCTCTGTTGGTTTTATCTGAATTCTCACACAAGAGATGTCTGTGCCCAGGGCTGGTAATGCCAGGTCGGTATGGTTCACCTGCTTGTTCAAGTTCAAAGGAAACATAAAGGGAAAAACTGATTTTAGCACGTGGCAGTGTTACGCATGCCGCAGCTCACGGGGCACACCGCTCTGGAGGGGACCCCCTTTCCAAAACATGACGTTGTCACCGCTGTCCCTTTTGGGCTTCACAGGAGACGCCTTCCCTTGGGCCCCTCGACACGGCGTGCGGGAATTCCTGCACACACTGGCCCGTTTCGGGGGGTTCTGCTGGGGCAGGGGTGTTGCGTGAAAAGAGTGTCCCGAGTTGTCTGGTTCATCGAGACTTGCCACGTCCCACCCCCAAAGGAGCGTAATAGCAAAGCAGTGAGACCACGGAGATTTTAAAGATGCAACCCAGGTCTCCAGGACACAAAAAGCCGCAAGCAGAGCAGAGAGAGGGCCGAATGCCAGCTTGGCCACCACAGCTGGGTGGCTTTCTGTTCGCCGCTCCGGTGCGCCCTGTCTGCCGCTGTGGGAAACCAGAGTTCAGAAAGACAGATGCCGTCTGGGTGACTCCCAGCCTGCTGGAACCAGCACCTCGTACGTGATGAACGCAGGCGACGGGAGGAAACTCCGCTGTCCGCCTGTCTTTATAACAGCAAATTCCTCCCATGTGAAGGTCATCTGCCACAGGGAAGAGTGGGGTTGTGTGAAGTGATTTAGGGTACAAGAACGGGGTTGCATACAGGTATGCTGTAAGGCTGGCACTATTATTATTGTTAAAAATACCAGCCAAAGCCAGCCACGTGTGGTGCGGTCTCATAGCGAATTCCAGTCCCTGTGCCGAGGAACTCGGGCGCTGGCACTGAATGAGATGAAGTTATGAAGAGCAAATGGACAAGAAAATAGGGTGGACACATAGGGATCATAGGAGGCCATGGAGCTGTCTGGAGCAGGTCCAGAGGAGGCCACGAAAATGGTCAGGAGGCTGGAACAGCTCTCCTGGGAAGAAAGGCTGAGAGGGCTGGGGTTGTCCAGCCTGGAGGAGAGAAGGCTCTGGGGAGACCTTGTTGGGGCCTTTCAATATAGAAAGGGGTCTTACAAGGAAGGTGGACAAAGGCTTTTTACCAAGGTCTGTAGTGACAGGACAAGGGGCAACAGCTTTAAACCGAAAGAGCGTGGGTTCAGATTGGATGTAAGGAGGGGACTTGTTACGCTGAGGGTGGTGAGGTGCTGGCACAGGCTGCCCAGAGGAGCTGTGGCTGCCCCATCCCTGGAAGCGTTCAAGGTCAGGTTGGACGGGGCTCTGAGCAGCCTGGTCTAGCAGAAGATGCCCCTGCCCGTGGCAGGGGATGGAGTAGATGATCTTTAAAGGTCCCTTCTGACCCAAACCATTTTGTGGTTCTGTAATTTAGCTTTTACACAGGGGGGCAAAATAAGGTATTTCTGTTTCACAGGAGTTTGAAGTTGGTCTCATTGGTTAAGAATGAACTTCCAGAATATCCCTATTTCTCTTGTCCTCAACCAAACCAACATCCATAGATTTTCCATAGAAGCAATATGATTCTTTCCAGAGATCTCTTCTGTCAGTCTTTGCCTATCCCACAAGGCAGACACTGGGCATGGTAGCAGTCGTCCTCGACCCCTGCGTGTTCCTCCTGGAGGGCAGAGCTCCCAAAGCAGGGGCAGCATTTACCCCTGGGGGTTATTGCCCTCGAGAGCGGGCAGGGCTGCCCATGCGATGGGCTTTGGCTGAGCCAGCCCGCAGCTGCTGCCCGGCTCCCTGCCTCGCTGATGGTAGCAAAGGACGAGTTAATATTCAGGTTAGGAAGCAAAGCTGTGAAATTTTACAAATTTTACTTATTTTCTGTGGCTAGTGCTTCATCCAAGTCTGCTGGGGAGCAGCTGGGGGAGCTGGGGGGGTTCAGCCTGGAGCAGAGGAGGCTGAGGGGAGCCCTCATCGCTGCCTACAACTGCCTGAGAGGAGGGGGG